CATTGATATTTTGTTTCAATATTTTCATGGCAATTTGATGAATTTGATCTTTTTTATCCCCAGGCGCCGAATAGACAATTTATAATATTTTTTGTATTTTGAGCAGTCTTAAAAGTCTTAGTGCCGGATAGTGTTAACTGGGCTTTTGTACAACCCGATTTTCCAAGAGCTTAAATTTTATGGGTCAGAAAGCGAGTAAAACGGATATGATCATATGCAACCGATCGATGATACCAATCGCTGTATGCGGTATGTCTTTCAAAACTGTAGGCTGATCAGAGTTAACCGAGTAATTTCGCTAAAGAACTAAAGAAGACAAGTCCGTTCTTATCAGTGGCATGGCTCGTCTTTCTCTTGGTCTTCTTCTCATGTGCCTGTGGAGTCTTCTTGAGAATCTTGCGCCTCTGACGACTCAAAATATTCTCTTTGGCTTTGACTGCGGTTTGCAGTCTCAAACGGATTAGCTGGTACGTCTTTATGTGCTACTCGCACTCTGTTTCCCTTATGGCAAGTTTGCTCGTGCCTCTTACGGTAATCGTCGGGCCGTATGTTAGATAACTTTTATGCCGATTAATACGTTTTCCCTCGTGAAATAAATAATAAAGTTTCTATAGTCGTCAAAAACCGAATTACATTCAAGACACTAAAGTTTTATTATTTTTCTTTTGGGCAGTTTTGAACCGCACATAATTGATAAAAAGCCTTCGCTATAAGAGCAGTCGAGCGAAGAACATGCCCGGAAACGTGGGTTTCACATTTCAGCCTCCCGTCGATTTTCGACAAATAAAAGACTAATAGTTTTACTAGAAAATAGAAATACATTTAAATGGTATAAGGCCACACAAACCATTATTTTAAATCCAAAATTTATCGCTTTATTTATCGCCTTCGTTCTTAACTTTTACAATTTGCTGAATGCCGATTTCGCAATTTGCCGAACAGTAACGAAGAAATTTGCCGACTGGGGCCGACTTGTGAAAATTATTGGGGGGGTGGAGCACCCCCCCCACACCCCCCCGCTCGCGACGGCCCTGATGAAAATGCGAAATATAAGTTTGTCGACAGGTCGAGCAAACCTGAATATGAATCTGAATCTGAAACTGGAATCTGTAGAGCGGATCGTCTACAATTAACATTATCTGGCCAGTTGGCTATTCCATTGGCATTGAATCGAAACTTAACATTAACATTATCTGGCCAGTTGCCTTGGCTATTCCATTGAATCGAAACTTAACTTAACTTAAAGTTATAATGATTTTACAAACTATATTGTGAACTCTTCGCAACACAAAGACACGGACAATGTTCTAAGGTTTATTTCGTACAAGTTTTAATACATTTTTATCGTATTATTTGGCTGTCAAAATAGTTGTTGTTTCCTTTTGTCCTCGACTTTCGATCGTATGATTAAAACAAACAACACGTGACCAATATTAACCTAATTAAATATTAAATAATTAGCATTCATTATGCAGTTCTATTAAAGCGTCAAAACACTCCTCCCCAGGGCGGAAAACGTTAGAGCAACGAAATTACTGTCTATATGTCTGTCTTTTCAGTGTTTTTATCTATGTTGTACTAAAGTTTCATTCTGTTCGAGCTCTTGTCGGGTTGCAATTAAGCATAACTTCGCTATGGGTCTTTCGTAGACTCCCTTCGACGTTCTAATCTTTACTTTAGGAACAAGATTATCATCACCACGAAATACTTCTTCCACCAACGCCATTTGCCACTCACCTCTCTTGCGATTCCCATCGATTTCTAATACAAGATCACAAACTCCGACATTCTTTTGCCATTTTAACTTTTCTTCAGGTGGCAATACCTCATCCCACTGATATAGATTCTGGAGATCAATTCGAAACTGAATTGTAACTTGCGCCATCAGTCCTAGCAGATCCCACAGTTGAGACACCACACCAAGAGCCTTTCGTTTCGTACAATAACTGAGATCTGTATACACTGTCTCGCTCTTCAAAGCAATGCTATCAGCTTTCTTGTTCCATTGATGACCCAGTAGACTCACCGGATTCTCGTTACCATCTTGATCAATCTCTGGGCTGTTGCTGTGCCACGCTTTGATGGCAAACTTGGTATCGATACCATCGACCACTTTCTTGACTTTCTCTGGTGATGTCTCCGACCCCGCGACGTCATCAACATAAGTATTATCCTTTAGGATTCTTGCTGCTTCTGGTGATTTGACTTGAGCTCTGTCAGTGAGAAGATTATTGGCATTCATGGCAGGCTCTCTGTCAGTTTCTCCGTCTCTCCACAAGAATCTGTGGTATTTCTGATCATCCGGATGGACAGCTATCTCATTAAACATCTTCGAGTCGTCTCCAGCAAAGGCGACTCCATTCTGTCTCCAGCCAATCAACACATCAAATAAGGAATTCATAAGACATGGTCCTTTTTCAAGAGCATCATCGAGGGTCCTTTTTCAAGAGCATCATCAAGTCCATCCATTTTGGCTGCTGCATCGAAAACTAATCTGCACTTGGTAGTCTTGTCGGGACCTATTCGGGCAAAAATTGTCTTGTCATTCGGGCAACGACGGTCTGGTGGTTAGACGAATATTTTGATCCATAAAGCGGAACAGAAGTATTATTTCAACAAGTTCAACTTTTACAGGTTCAATCATGCACTGTAAATCTGTAATGGCAACGTTTGTGTATATTTATTACTACCATAGATCGCATAGCTGGATTCAAGCATGTTGCGTCAGGTTAACATTTATTAAAGGTCACGTGCTCCAACTTAATCGGATTTGGTTTTGATTTTTACGCACATTTATTTATTATTTATTTATTTTTATTTGCTGATTCGCCCAAGATATTGATATTACACATAAAAGAAATAAACTATTTACAAGAAATGGGCTAGGAACCTACTAGAAACCATATGGCTTTTTGTTTTAGGCCCCTGGGTTATAAATTTAAACTAATACATACACATACCACTGCAGACGTATAAAATCCCCACAGAATCGGCTAGAACGAAGGAACAATTGCTATGGCTACTAATAAAATGTCATTACTGTATTCATGCCTATATTCAGCAGTTTACCTAGCATAATGTAGGCTATACAACTATTAAACTATATAAGTATATAGTATATAGCTGCACATATTGTGAAGGTGTGGTATAAGTGTGCGTAGTAACAATCGGATCAGTAATGTTTATCTCCCTTGATAGCATTGGTTGCTAAATACAGTCTCTGGCCCTGGATGGCACCGCGGCTATGACACACCAGTCACTGAAAATAGATACACATTATAATTGACATTGACGTAACCGTACAAATACTGTACAATGATGACCTTAGTCGGGCAGATAGAAGGAAAAAACTTACGTTATCGTGGGATAATTCCATTTTGCCTTCATATTGTGCCCTGAAGGCTAGTTAGTACGTTTTTGTATGTTGGCCGCGTTGATATTTCTTATGGGCTCCTGCCGACACGTTTTTCTTCGAATGTTGTATTAAACACTATTACAGTTAAAAATGTGAAATTCCAAATACATTTCTAACACAAATGACTTACATCATTTGAAAGCTTGCAAAAAACTACATCTAAGGCATTTACACGGTTACCCAGGTTTTTCAACTTATTCTTGAGTTATGAGCTGTTGAATGCGTGTTTTCAGACTAGTACCCAGGAATTTTGCGAGATTTTGGCTTATTTGTCACATTTGAAACGGCAATAACTCGAAAACCGCTTGAGAATCCCAACTAACCATTTAAATGTTTCATATGTAGTTTTTTGTTAGCTTTCTATTGATGCAAGTCATTTGTATTAGAAATGTATCAGAAATTTCACATTTTTTAACTGTAATAGAGTTTAATACAAAATTCGAAGAAAAACGTGTCGGCAGGAGCCCAAAAGAAATTTTAACGCGGCCAACATACAGAAACGTACTTATTAGCCTTCAAGGCACAATATAAAGGCAAAATGGAATTGTCCCACGATATGGTAAGTTTTCCGTAATTTTGGTCCTCTATCTGCCTGACTACCTAATGTGACTAATTTTAGACTTTTAGATAGACATAAAAGTGCGCGATTTTTTACGATCATTAAAAAATTGTTGATTTTACGACCATTAACTCCACGACCACGATCGCTATAGAAACAATCGCCTAGAAGATTACAATGGCATCTCGTAAAAGACAGTACCAGCATCACGTTTGGTGCAATAATGCAATGCAATAAGGAAATCGACAGTGATCCATCCCAGTTGAAAATCAATCACTTTCTTTGTAAAAAGTAATATGACAACCAAGGACAATGACCCGCAGTATGACCTAACCGTACTTGGAACTGAATCGAGTGGTAGTAAAGATTCTGCAGTCACGGTGTCTTTTGATGAAGATCTATCTGAGAAAAATGTGAAGGAACCCATGAGCGAAGACCAAACGGAACCAATGACAACGTTCATTGATGTTGATGAATTAAATTCACTGTCACAGTTCAGAGCCAAAATAGTGAACAGAATACGGTGACGGACAGTGAAAATGTTACACCATCTTTAGGTCGAAACGCGGACAGGGTTGCCTTCTTCCTCAACTTTAATCTCTTGCGCCTTATCCTCGTCTTTTATCGTGTCCCATAAAATTTCCACCTTTTTTAGTTTCTATATAATCGTAATTTCCCTAGGTTTTTACGTACATGTTCATCACAGGAGTCGGAGTTAAGAAATTAAGAACAACAATTTTTGGAATACTGGCCCTCTCATTATTTAAGCTACACAATGTCTTGCACCAGTACTTGTCCAATTACCCATTTTATACCAAAAAATGTTGTTACGTTAGTAACTTTCTCTTTCTTTGTGAATCGTAATGCCATATATTTAGCTTATAATTGAAATGGCTAGGGACGACATATTTCTTTTTATATCAATCTTCAAAGAAAAGCCTTTCATTTGTAGTCGTCTTAGATTATATAATTTTATGATGACGTCACGAAATCTATGACGTCATGTCATTCGGACAAATTCAGCCCAGCCCCCCACCAAAAAATAATGTGCCCGTACGCCTATGGCCGCCCGACTTTCCACTTCTCCAATCGGTAGAGACCAAGCCAGCTCCTCTGGGTTTACCTTCTCTTGTTTCAGCTTAATGACCACTTCTCTGTCAACCAAAGCTTTTACTTCCTTGTTAAACGCCTCCAACTTTCCTTTCTTTACCAGCTGCCTTTCTTTCGACACCATTCGTTCGAACGCGACAGACCGGTTGTTAGGTAGATTGGTATGTTCTGGTTTCCAAGGCATTCTTACTTCAATTCTACAATCATCCAAAACTCTAGTAGACTCCCGAACATGTCGAATGAATGCACATTCTCGCATTTCTTTCTCAGAGCATATACAGTAACCAGTTGGTTTGATTCTTAATTGATCTTGGAAAGTTAATTTCTTTATGTCCTGGTCCTTTGTTATGTCGCCAATGGTTTCGACAGCAAAAATTCCAGGTGTACTATTCTCTTCAAGATTACCAAGAACTGACCAACCAAAGATGTTCTTCTTTGCAATCGGTTCACCAGGGTTACCCGCCAGAACTTTAAAATCACGATGGGCTTCCGGTAGATCTGTTCCCAATAGAATGTGCACTGGACCGCCATTTAAATGTAGATCTTCTACAATTCGAACAAGGTGAGGAAATCTGACTACCGCTTTCTTTGAAATAGTTTTGGCTGCTTAGCACGGTTGCTTGACTGAATAAGCTCTCACATTGAATACAATATCTTCATCATAACAGGGCGATATCTTTAAATCAAACTCAGCAGAATCTTTAACTCTAATTCCACCGCCTGCAACATACATCTTCATCTTTTTTGATTCTCCGACCAAACCGAGCTTGTCCGCAAACTTTTTCCGAATGAGACTCTTATTAGAACCACTATCAACCATGGCAAGTCCCTCAATAGAGTTCCCATTGGCACTGTGCACTTTGACCTTTTGAGTTGGTACATTTGCAGTTCCTGCATTACCAGCTGAAATAGCACCAATCTGATTGGACTTTCCCGTGCCTGTAGCTTCCTCCTGATCTGGTTGGAATGGTTGTGCATCAGGGTTCAGATTGCCATTGTCCACTTGTTTTGGATCTTTATGCAATAGGTAATGATGTGGTCTTCCACAACTTTTGATATCACATGCCTTTCGCGAACACTGTTGGTGTCGGTGTCCAGTTCGCAGACATTTTTTACATCTCTTGGACTGAATCACCACTTCCCACTTTTCCTTCACTTTCATCTTCTTAAATGCTGGACAATAACCTAAACCATGTTGTTGGGAACAACCCAAACCACAACCAGGGGCACCATTGTAACCACCGTCCACATTAACTGGATAAATCCCAATTTTTGAAGAGCGTTGATCCGATTGACTACTTGCCATTATTTTTGCCTCTTCTTCTAGGTATTCCAACAAGGTATGCAGGCTTTCAATCTTCTTTGTATCAATCATACTCCGTGCGTAAGCTCTTTGATCTTCTACCGTCAATTTCGCCAGAATATCAGCAAACACATATCTACTTTTGGCTTCGTCAGATGCTCCAACATCCTCCATTCTGAGAATAAACCCACGAACTGTTGCGACCAAATTCCGAATCGACTTTGCATCTTTGACCTTCAAGGGTTTCATTGTTTTGATATCATTCATTAAAATTTTAATCAACTCTTTGTCGTCTCCAAATAACTTGTCGAGAAATTCCCGTATCGCTTTAGTTGTAGTAAAACATTCAATTTCATATCTCAGGGGGGGGGGGGGTTGGATAGCTTCAATCAATCTTGCAAGTTGACTTCCTTCATTTTCATAATTTCTCTTCATAGTGTCCTCGAAAATTCTTTTCCATGTTCGATAATTTTTAATGTTTCCAGAAAATTGTGGTACCTTGATTCTCTCCAGATTAGACCTCTGTTGTTTGGGTTCCATTTCAGTCGGTAGTCCCTTAGTCCAGTCCCAGACCCTATTCTCGCCACACGGCGCGGCGGAGAAGGAGGGTCCAGAAGAATTTGCATGCGCATGCGTCAACTACCACCACACATATGTGGAGGTCGCCAGGTCGCTAAGCTCTGTTTACTGTGGGGAAAATCCGCAATGTCAAAGGAAAGTTCTGATACTCTTGCAGCGCTGATTGAGAACAAGTTTCTTCATATTTTTGGCAGAGAATTTGTTGAAGCCGTTAAGTTTGTCATGGAAATGTGTAAATATAATTTTTTGCCGAAGTTTGAGCAATTGCAAGCGATCTATTACCTGTGTCGCGGTAAAGATGTATTCGTTCATCTGAGAACTGGTTTCGGAAAGTCGCTGATTTACACGCTCTTTCCATATGTTTGCGATGCTCTGCGATCGTCACCAAACAACGATTGCCGTTCATCTATCGTCGTTTTGATTTCACCACTAATTTCCCTCATGGATGATCAGATGGCTAAAATGGCCGAACGAGGAATACATAGCGTCAAGCTCACCGATCTTAAAGACCGACAAGTTGAGGACCTTCGACGTGGAAAATCGAACATCAAAATCGCTTTGTTATCCCCTGAGGCATTTACCAGTTTGACTGTAAGGGAGACTCTGAGGGAACTGAAAGAGCATATTGTTTGTGTGGCAATTGATGAGGCACATTGTGTACTACAATGGTAGGTCTATGCTAGATATTTTAATAATTTAATAAATAAATTAGCCAAAGTGCTTTCCCTTGACTACAGAGCCTCATTCTATTGCAAGAGAATTTGGCTAATTGTCATATGTTTATACTAAGTTTTAAAGGATTATTGAAATTATTGAAAATGTGGCGAGATATCCAACGATTGGATAGGGCAAATTTTTTTTACACTTTGGTTCATCACGTTATATAATTAGCCTTGCAAATAAGTAACTTTATACAGTAACCTACTCTGAACTCACTTGATTTATTTTAAACTGTAGTAAATGTTTGACAGGGTGAGGAAAGATATGTTGTCGTGCTCACACTTGATGTCGTGTTTGCGAATGGGATGGCTAAATGAACATGATAACAAACATTTAGATAATTACACCCTCGAAGTCATATAAAGAAACACAAGATGATGAAACTACACAGTAAATACGTTCGGTTATCTCCTCTACAATGTATACTACTTCTTCATATTTTTGGTTTAATGGCGTGAATTGTCTGTAATAAGTTTATGGATTATTCGTCCTAATTTTGTGTTAAAATATTAGTGCAAAAATTACAATAATTAACACACCCAAGGCTGCAAGACCAGGAGTAAAGCACTTTATGACGACCACATTATATTTATATAAAATTAAAGTGTTTGCAGTAAAAGAAAGCTTGTCTATTTTTGCGTATCAAATAGAAATTTATTTAATTACCCTATCTTTTGTCACAATACAATATTTGTCACAATAACTCTTATTTGTTACAGCGATGCAAAATTGCAATTATCGTACGTGTAATTTGACAAGTTTAACTTTCTAGCTATAACAGACATAACAAATAAAGTATTTTTAAACAGTCTCACTCGGACAATATTGGGATATCATACCAGCAATATTTAGTAAACACCGATTTCAGTTAGTATATACATAGTTGCATATTTCTTCGGCAAAAGACTGGTCTTTTTATAATAAAATTTAAATAACGTCGTCGTACCTGTGCTTTGTCGTTGGAAAACTGCAATGATCTGGCTGAAAATCTACAATTTCTTTCGTTAGGTCTCGATGTTTTCGATGGTGGAGATCTAATCGAATTTGGCGAGGATGGTATTGTTTTTCTTTTCCCTCGAGGACTAATATTTTCCTTATAACTTTTAATTTTCTCGACGGCCCTATTCGCATTATTTCGGCAATTTCGACAACATTGGCGAGACAATCCAGGCTTGTCTCGTCTAATAGACAGACCATATGCCTTGAAAAACAGCATCGCTGTTGATGTATAATCATTTTCTGCATTGTAAAGTACATATCTCCTAGCGGGCGGACAGACTCCATTGCATATTCGACATCGAACTTCACCTGACATTTTTTATTTCTCTGAGTTGTTTACGTTTTGCGCGCGCGGTTAACAGGTGTAAGGGTTTTCCCTTCTCCCGGAAGTCAATCGCAACCGTTTTGATTGGACAAGTTGACGCATGCGCATGCAAATTCTTCTGGACCCTCCTTCTCCGCCGCGCCGTGTGGCGAGAATAGGGTCTGGGACTGGACTAATCATGAACATGACACGTTCTCTAGTCAATGAGATCCACTGCTGTAACTAATTGTAACTAACTTAGTTACAATTAGTTACAGCAGTAACAACCACTAAAATCCCCCTCTGCTAAACTACAATCCTCGACAAAGGTTTTTGGTCGTATAGTTTTATTAAATCTTACACTCTGGTGGAAATTTTGCTGGTTAGCCTAAACTGAATAACCCTATAGCCAGGGCCTCCTGGCAATTTATCCACCTAACATAGTCTGGTTAATTTAGCCAAGTAGTCCTTGGTTAAATTAACTAGGCAATCAGGAAAAAGGTTAAAATAACCAGGAAAATTGATCAGGAATATTAAGTTAACCCAAATAGGGCTATCTCTAGGTTAACCAGGAGGTTCAACTAGACTGTTTTTAATAGAGCGTAAAAATTATAGAAGTATATAATGGATAAAAATAAAAACTCACAAATCACGATTTTGACTATATAGGAGTATAGCGCACTATATAGGAGTATCCGACTTCTCTGTGTTGACTATACATGGTTACGTTTACACTTGTACCGCATAGCTTTCCGTAGCGACGTGAAAAACATATCTTTATCCGTGCCTTTTAAGAACGCTATTTCAGAGGAATTATTGCAACGGAGAGATGTTGTTTCGCTCAGTTTCTGAAAGTTGTACATTGCGTATCGGACAGGTGCTTTTTCGCGCCGCCACGGAAAGCTATCTGGTATAGTGTAAACGTAACCTATATATCACTGCCTCTCACAGGGTGTCCGACTATATGGCCTATTATTTACTAGTTGAGTCGGTTTTCTTTGATGCACCGCGGGATGTATACAGGTTATAACCCGTGAATAAATAATTAGATTATTAATGTCTACAAAACTCGAAAAATCTCGACCGAAAGTCTTTGAAATTGACGAAACCTTGTTCGAAAACCTCTTCAACAACCAAGAACTTCAAATGCGAACTTGAGATATAGTCCTATATTTGCCCCTGGGTTAAGGGTTAAATATATAAGTTATATTCTCGGTTTATAACGCATACTTATATCAGTACAATATCTATGCATACATAATCTCCATACATTTATATCAACGCGGTCAGTCCGAAAAACACGCGATGTGCATTCGTGTTTAATTAAAATGCATGATGTACGACAGACTAAAGGTCCAGTTACACGTGCGATTTTTTTCTCGCGCCGGCAACGCAACGGGTTAAATTTCATTGCGTTACTCGCGCGAATCATGAAATTGCCCGTGTAACATATCTGGCGCGGTAACGCAATTGCAACCCGATATTCTTGGCAATCGTTGCGGAAAGTTGAAATGCTTGAACTTTCGGCAACGATTGCCGAAAATATCGAATTACCCAGGCATTGTTTGAGCAGGAAACGCATGGGCTATTTTAAGATAGCCAATGAAATTCGCTGGGTAAGGATAAAACGCGGATACGGACGGACGGACGGATGGCGGACGGACGGACGGACGGACGGACGGACGGGGGACAAGCGGATGGACGGGGGGGATCAAATCCGCGTTTTTTAGGAAATGTAATTAAGACTATTATTAATCGTAATAAGTTGTCGAAAAAATGATAAAATATTAAATTGTGGAAATGCGGGGTTTTTCGAACCTTTGTAACGCTGAAAAATCTAATTAAATACGTTGGACATCTGCTCAAACTTGCGTCCAATTTCATTTGCGCAAATAATCGAGTGAGTATTTGAACGCGATAAAACAACTCGTACTAGGAAATATTAATACATAAGGATTACTAACTTACTTGCCAATGTCGTATATAAACAAAGCTCCAACTATTTCGTAGGATGTAATCGAGGCGCATTCATTCTCAATCTGATTATAATTGTAAACAATACTAAAGTTGAGAGAAATACTCATTACAGTGACACGATTCCGGTATAGACAGGCTTTGTCGATGTCAAATGTCCAAGTATATACGAAACCAGTAGTTTGCAGGTTGTTTACAAACGCTAGGTTATATTAGTTTTTATCTGTACTTCCGCTTAAAAAGGTACATCAGCGACGTGCATATAAACCCCAAATGCCTAGTCTTTTTAAGATGAATTCTAATGAATAAATTGCTCTTGCAAAGCACAAAGCTTGCGAAGTACAAAACAATGTCCACTTTGTAATAGTTTGTATACTAGCGCACGGCTATTTGCTGTTCGCGCTGTGTCAAAGGTAATACGATATAATTATACTTTTCATGAAACTTCCTGTTGGACGTGCGGTGGACGGACGGGACGGTCAGCTTACATTAGCCATTCCAAAGTTGATGGGAGGACTGGGGACGAGTGTTAAAAAGTGCCCAAATTAAGAAATGAACCAAGTAACTAACTAAAAAGACCACCTTAAAATTAGTAAGTGTACAAAGTTTGAAGAAGTTTACATGAATACCCTTCGAATAATAAGCTTTCGAAAATTTTGAAATTGCTGATTAAAAGATTGTTTTTGGAACGCGCGTCCCAAAAACGAAATTACAATACATTTCACAGTAAATATCGCGATTTTTGAAAGCTTGTTATTCGAAGGCTATTCATGTAAACGTCTTCAAACTTTGTATACTTACTAAATTTCGATTTATCACCTCTGCCTCCTTTTCGTCTTGCTGTAGATGCTTTGGTTAACTTTTTCCCAGTATCCTTACTGCTATCGTACGTTATTAGTGATGTTAAGTTCGTTGTTGTTGGACCATTCTTGGTGAACCATTTAACATAATTTTCCAGCACGCCAGCTTTCTCCAATGCTGCGACCGCATGCGCACATAACTTAGTAGATGCAAAAGACGGACACCCATCACAAACCAATTTCCCGGGGTTTTTTATTTCTACAAAGTGTGGTCTTGTAGTGGTCTTATTTCAAACCAATTCCGAATGCATCTGTTAAGTGAATTTTGATGTATTGCATAAAATAGCTTTATCAAACACTATAAAGATTGGGGGAAATGGAAATAATGAGAAAATATAAAATAATGAAAATTTCACGCAGCTGTCAAAAGTAGACGCGGGCGGGTGTTGGTAAACTGATACCTTAATTTAATTCCATTGGCCTGTAACATGGCCTTTAGATCGACAAGATTCAAACATTGTTATTAAATTAAGGGGTCTCACCTCGGTTTACCCGTGCGGTCTTCGATTTTAGGATTTGCTCGGTGTGGATGTCTTTTGATCGACTTTCACCAAAGTCGGTCAGCTTACATATGAGTGGCTTAATGGAAGCCATGCATTCGACTGCTCGTGTATCTGTGAGACGATTGTAATGGTGGTTAGACACCAATATATTTTCAGGTTTCAGGTCACGGTGGGCAATCCCTTTCTCGTGCAGATACTTCAAACCCAACGCGACGTCCAAGGAAGAATGAATAAATATCGAGCAATGCATGCCATGGCAATCTGATTGTTCGCAAACTGCTAAGAAATTGGCTAAGCTATGCACAGTGATGCCGTCGTTTCCCATTGGCGTAAAATCAAAATACACATATTCAAGCAACACAGCGTACTTGTCCAGACAAACTCCTTCAAACCTGACAACATTCGGGTGTTGCAACTTGCTAAGAAGTCGTGCTTCTTTAACCAGCGACTTCCTAGCTTCATTGTCAGACGCTAATAGCTTCTTCACAACAATCTTAGCTCCATTGTCCGGCGGCTTCGCGGTAAAAACAACCGCGAAACAACCTTCCCCAATTTCGTCTTTTTCAAGTAAAGAACTATACGAATAGTTGGGCAATCCTGACGTATCAACAGTTTCGCGAGTAGGTTGGCTTGTTTTCCCCAAACTGCCAAAAAAAGACATTTGGCTTCGCTTGCCTCACAAACACAACCGTGCTGTGGCAGTTAAAGATCGAAAGGAAGTTTCATGTCAAAGTCTATGCTGACAAAAGCTATATCGTATTACCTTAAATAGCCGTGCGCAAATATACAAAGTGGACATTGTCACATTGTCCTGTACTTCGCAAGCTTTGTGCTTTGCAAGAGCAATTTTCATAAGAATTCATCTTAATAAGACTCGGCATTTGGGGATTATATGCATGTCGCTGATGTAGACAATCCCTGTTTTAAAATTGACCTTTTTAAGCGGAAGTACAGATAAAAACTAATGTAACCTAGCGTTTGTAAACAGCCTGTAAACTACTGGTTTCGTTTAATACCAAATCATATATATTAATTAATTGGACATTTGACATCGGCAAAGCGGGTTTATATCGGAATCGTGCGGTCACAGTAATGGGTATTTCTCTCAACTTTAGCATTGTTTACATTTATAATTTAATCAGATTGAGAAAGAATGCGCCTCGATTACATCCGACGAAACAGTTGGACTTTTGTTAAAATACGACATTGGCAAGTACGTTAGTAAACCTTATGTATTAATATTTCTTCGTACGAGTTGTTTTATCGCGTTCAAATACTCACTCGATTACGCGATATTTGCGCAAATGAAATTGGACCCGAGTTTAAGCAGATGTCTAACGTATTTAATTAGAATTTTCAGCGTTACAAAGGTTCGAAAAACCCCGCATTTCCACAATTTAATATTTTATCATTTTTTCGACAATTTATTACGATTAATAATAGTCTTAATTACATTTCCTAAAAAACGCGGATTTGATCCCCCCCCGTCCATCCGCTTGTCCCCCCCGTCCGTCCGCCATCCGTCCGTCCGTCCGCCATCCGTCCGTCCGCCATCCGTCCGTCCGTCCGCCATCCGTCCGTCCGTCCGTATCCGCGTTTTATCCTTACCCCATGTATCGAGATGGTTTCCAGACAAGACATTCTTGACTGCTGAGACAGATTTTAGTTATTAATATAGGTTTAGGGTAGATTCAGCTACTCGCGCAAGTATACATAAATGCATTTTGGTGTTCAAGTGCCTAAATGATTCGTTCCGCCAGGTATATACTATTTAGCCGTGATTATTTTGTGAGGAATCATAGTATGATTACTGATTAGTATCCTCACATAACACATAACACTGAGTCACTAGAAAAGAAAGTGATCTACACCTTTCGAAACCAAGCTTATTGCTTTTCAAATAAAGTATTCTATCCATATCTATATATAGAAAGCGGGAAGAGATAGGGACACCCGCGCGAGAGAACAAATCCGCAAATTTAATATTACCGATGTAACTCAGATTCTTTATCAGCATTACGCCAGATAGTGCAACAGCACTCTAGAAATTTATTTAAAGATATATACATCATTATTGTTATAAAGAGATCATCGTTCATCATGTTGACTATTAAACCTTTCCAAAAAACCTTTACATTCTCGTACACAGAGTCCTTGTTTTGAATTCGGTTTTTTCTATTTCGAGTCCGGGTTTTCAAAAGTCAAGTCCGGGTTTTCTTAAACACGAGTCCGGATTTTATTCGAGTCCGGGTCCGGGTTTTTCTCGAGTCCGGATTTTCTGAGAGTCCGAGTCCGGTCCGGGTTTCGAAGTATGCCGTGGCTCAGACGGGCTCAGTATGACTTGTTTGATATTGTGGTATTTGTGGACACATTTCTGTCAAAAATCGGTCGTCCACTGCATGCTTAATTTACGCATCGGTAATTTCCTCTTTACTATAGCCTGTAAAACACGGAAGGTCTAAAATTCAGGGGGCTGATTGTTAAATTATTGTCACTATAATATTTTCCATAATGACTGAACTAATGCGGTCACAATGGATTTAATAGCATAATAGTAAAAGGTCAAGTATCTACAGACCTACTTAAATTAAACCAACTATAAAACAGTTTGAACGGCAAATATAAAACACAGCACGCAGTAATTGTAAGGTATATTGCAGAATGCAGATAATAATAATGACGATATGATATATTGGTACTGAAAAATCTGAATGCACTCCTTAAAATGCACTCCTTAAAATGCACTCCTTAAAATGCACTCCTTAAAATGCACTCCTTAAAATGCACTCCTTAAAATGCACTCCTTAAAATGCACACTTAAATGTTTTCCTTAAAATGTACAAAATCCTGTGAATGTATAAAGTCATCATATCACGGTCACTTATATCATTCATGGACATTCATGGACCAACAAAAAGACGCTCATACTGTGTATATGCCAATTAAGGCTTCAATTAAGCACGAAGTACCGACTTCGTTTTACAAGTAAGCTAGCTGATATCCTTAATTTACTTGTTATATTTATAGTACATCTTTTTACAAGCCTAATCAAGAAGACCAATTCCCTTTTATGTTTTCGCGCAATCACAACATCGCTATTTAAAACGTCATTACCCTTTAGCATACACAACTATTAATATATAAGGCTGTCCCCCCCCCTGCAAAGATAGCTTGGAATACGTTAACACACTCACAACTTTTCCTAGTGGTCTCCTATTTTACTTTCTTTAAAGAAATGAGAAATAAGTTATAATTGTTTAATCGGCATAACTAGTTCATGACCACCAGGACTACGCTAAGTCGCTAACCTTACGACGTCTTCTCTCTTGTGATGTCGTCCTATATCTTTTAAGATACATAAATGCATTTTAGGTCCTAAGAACATACATAGCTAATCCCATGAAATAAATCCACGTCTTTTTTAACTTGACGCTGTTTTCCCTCTTCATTATTATATATGCACGCTATCCATTGCCCATTGGCGCAACTTGAGCTTTGCAAGGTAATATTTGTTGCTTGATTGAAAAGGTAATTAAAATAATCTAATTAATGTCACTTTTTGTGACATGTAATGCAAGTGTTTCTTATCACGCTGCACGACACGAAAGCTATAACCTGAAAATATCGGAAAAGGTGGGTTAAGTACCTTCCATCTGTTCCATCGAACTCTGAGATCCTATGAATGTACGCTGATGATACCGCGATATTCCGCGAGGGTGCTGAAGTATGCAAAATTCAACACTACAGGGACAGTGCGTCAGTGCCTGATGATTTGGCGAAAGGTAGATATGTGGTTTAAATTAATAAATTAATAAGGTTTATGATAATATGCTACATATGCATATCCATAAGGTAAAACGAAATCTGTTCTGTTTGGAACACTATTTGCACGCTTTTCACTGCAGAACGATGATCTAAGAATTGAACTGCAAGAAAAATGTGACATCTCGGTGTCTACTTAGAACGAGGTTTATCATTAATTTTATTGAACATGTAAATAGTCGCCTGAAGATGAAAGTAGGAAAACGGTTAGGTCAGTATGACCGGAAGTCAGCCGTTCCTAACTAGTTATATGCTGCTATTAATAAAGTCTATACGGCTATATAATATGGTACTGCCGGTCTTTGACTACTGTGACGTTGTTTGGGACACTCTCAACGACACAGCACTAACACAAACTAGTCAAACTAGAAAAAAACTACAAACAAGAGCAGAAAAAATCATAGACATGTATCAGTCATACGAACTAAACATCGCTAATTTCCCGCAGAAAAATGCATACTGCCATTTTAGTTTTTAAGTTAACAATCAGAGTTCCACCTTTCTTACGAAAATATCATCCGACTTATCAAATCCTTGCAGAATAACGAAAAACTGCGCGCATAAATGTGATATACTTAAAGTTAAACTGGTATTTAGGAGTAAGGGCTTTTATGCTAGAGACCCACAATTTTTTAACCGTTTGCTTTTCGTATATTCGGGAAGAAAATATTTTCATAAACTTTAGGTAGAGAGTCATAGAGCACTTTAGAAATCCATAATATGATCTTTCTAGCATAGATTCTATAATTAATTATTGTAAACTGTACGATTATTTATTATATTATATTTTGTAAAATCTTCATATAATCTCAAAGAAACAAAATTTAAATTTATTTAGTAATTAGTTAGTATTCAGGGCTAGCTCACGTTGATACCATGTAGTTCTTCTGAACTGTCGTGACTACTCTGGATGAAATAAAGTTTATTTGATTTGATTTGATTTGAAGGAAAAATCGATATGTTAACCGAGTAATGTCCATGCACTCGACAGCAGGGCTGGATGCGACTAGTTGAATAGAAAATTAGGGTATCGCCTATCGGAATAATTCTTTATATCTTTGAGATTCCTCGCGATAATTAAAGAGTTATGACAGTTGTTGTACTTATAACACCTGCTTATATCAGATATTATAGCACAATAGCTCCCGAAAGACGGAAGGCACAAAATTTCTATTAGCCATGTCAATTAAATAATTATAAAAAGTGTTTGAAACGCCAAAAATGTGATAATATTCTATCCTGAAACATCCCATTTTACACATGTAAGCACACGCTGCAAGAGAACCTTCTAAAACTCGCCGGGAATAAATGCATGAATAGTTTAATTAACAGGAAAAATTGCATGATTGACTAACTGTGCTTTATTATTCTTTATGTTGTAGCTGATTCCCGCATCTTTTATAAAATCGGCCATTTTGTGAAATAGTTCAATAAAGCTAGCAGTTAAATTAAAAGGCCTCAGAGACCAGGGTTAATATCAACTTGGACGTTTTCCCTATGCAGATAAGTGGATCAGATCAAGCTAATAAATAGCCAGTAGCTGGCTGTAACATTTTTTGACACTGAAAGTGAAACAATATCGGTTTCGGTTGGTGACAGGAGAATACCAGCTGTGAATCAAAGTAACAATCGTAGTATTCGCATAAGAAAATAATCGGCGAATAGTGTTGTGTGTAAATTTAATTGAAACGGAGAGTGCCTCGCACGCGGCCATGGTCTTCGAGTACAGTTTGCGTCGTTGCCGTTCGGATAAAACCATTACAATGTGATACTATATCTGACAGTATATCATACATGCATGCTACTCCATTAATTTTACTCAACTATATATGCATACCTAGTTATTATTTAATCAAATAATTATAAACTCTCCCTATATATTTTTCTAATTTTCTCATACGCTAGTTTTGGAAGCCGTTGCATGCATGCATAGGGCAGCGTTTAAAAAACTCTTCTCTATATAGAACTCTGCTGTACTGTTTTAAACGACCTGATGAAGTCCATCTGTGCACATTATACAACACGAATTTGTTAATATTATAATTATAAGTTTATGGGTGCCAGTCATGCAGGTATTAATATGCCGATTCCCATCAAACTAAGTTGAATAATTAATACCGGCTCATTTGCCGTCTGGCAACATGCACCGTGCATGTATGCACGTG